TTTTTGTAAATATATATATATATTTTCTTTTAAAAAGCTTTCTCATAAACTATCTTATATAAATAATGACATCGATAAAACAATGAATCATCAATTTAAAATCTTGGAAATTCAGTTGTTTCTAAGAAATAAAATTCCCATAAAGAATAGTAGCATTTTATTTACTATACTTCATTATTATTATGAATGAAAAGCAGTATATATTTTATGGGAATTCGCGATGCTTCGAACATCGGAGCGTTTCGATTTATTTTTCATATATTTTATAAGAATTATCAGAAGATGAGAGAAATTTTATCGATATAAAGATTTTAATACGTATATGATGAATTAAATTACTTTTTTTTATATGTTGCGTAAATGTTGGAATACTATTGAAAGATTTTTCGATTACATATTTTATCACATACATTTAAATACATATATATATAAAACTCTTTTACACAGTTACGTGTTTTTTTTTTCGTTTTAAATAAATGTTTGCAATAGAGTGCAAGAAATATTTGAATCTACGGAGAGTTTACTTTTCTTGTTGAACAATAGTTTTTATTTTACACATACCATATATATATATATCGCGTAAAAATATTTATCTTTATATAGAAATCTTGATAATTAGCGAATTAATGAGATTGTTTAGTTTCCGATAGCAAATGCAACGTGTTATAAACATTGAATCTTATCACATTGGATTTTTTTACTCTCGTCGTAAGTTGTCACACACAAATCGATTAGGTTTGAATCTACACACATATACATATACGTATATATTTATATTTAATTTAAATTGAAATAAAAGAAGAAGGAAGATAATTATTGCTTGCAAGTTTATATCGTTAATATCGCGATGGACGTATTTTAATATAATAAGTTGATATTAATGATAAAAGTCTCTTATTTTAACGAGCGATTATATTATATACGTTATATTATCTTGGCAAAAGAAATATTCTTTCATCTTATTTATCTTATTATAGTTTAAACTAACCATGCAGGAAATTTTAATAGATACTTAATTGACTTTACATCCTACTCTTTAAAACTTACTTAGCATTTTAATTTATGTCAATTTTACGCCCCTTTTTCTTTCTTTCTCTTTTTTCATCAAGAACTATCCCGTGTAAACTATTTTGTTAGATTTCATTAAATTTCTTGGACTTGATGCCAAAGTCCAATAAAAATTTAGGAATTAAGTTATCGTAGATAAACAAAAAAATATTTATTTATTATGTTACGATTTGATAACGTTCCTATCTGGAAGAACGATATAAAGAGTATCCCAGAATTCGCTTTAACTAACTGAAAAGTTATAAGTTTATTATCTATTAAAGTTTCCATGTATTGGATGCTTTCGTTTTACAGATTATCGTTAGAATTCTTTTTTCTCGGTAAAATGATATTTGATGTTGATATATTTCGATGTATATATCTCAATAAGAGACATAAGTATATGAGATATAAATGTAGTTCAAATATAGCATTTATATTTATATATATATACGCGACAAATTAAAATTATTAAAAAATACTTACTTCGGAAGAAAACAATTGGCATTTACTTAATTTATCTATTCGGCACATTTGAAATTTTGTTTTTATTTTTAATACATGTCATCGATTTTAAAAAATTTTTATCGAGTCATAATTGATGTCCCGTAATGTAATTATTAAAAATAATTCAGAAACAAGTATCTTTTAAAGGTGGTAATTTACATCATACGTAAGTACTTTGTACGTCGGTTTGTTGAGTAGTCGGTTGCAACTTTTTCATGATTTTTGGTTTAAAAAGTTGTCTGAACGATGTTCGAAATTGTCGAGACATTAAACAATAAAGTATAAAATTAATAGCACCATTTAATAAAGCTAAAATGTCCATTATCTCGCCAAAATTATGATAGCAATTACGGAAGAAGCAATCGCCTAGAATTCCAGACAGAAGGCCTAAAACCCCCTGCGGTATTTCTGTAATTAAAAAAAGGAATAAAACGGCAACGAGCATTCTTGTTGTTCTGTCAGCATGTTTTTCATTCTTGCTTGGCTTTCGTGGTATCACCGAACCATTACTTATCGGTAGGTTCTTCATTAAAGGTTGATTGTAATTCTTTAAAGCCTTTTTCCGATCTTTCGTCCTGAATATTAATTTAAAATTGAACACATTTGTTTAATTAAAGAGATAACAAAAATTCAACTCAAATACGAGATATATAAGATTTTCAAGAAAATGATTATATGTACGCGGGTGATATTATTAAAAATAGAAAAAGAAACAAACAAATTGATATTTAAATAATCAAATTATTTATATTGTAAAATATATATTATTAAAATACAAAATTTGAAAATCTCTCCATTGTCTCATATTTTAAAATTATTATTACTATCAAGTATACTATATGCATATACCTGCAAAGTGTTTTAATTAACCAACATATAATAATGGTAAGTATGACACAGGGCATAAGTTTAACGACAACTCCAAGTATCCAAAAATTAAGTTGGTAGATAAATCCTTTGTCTCGTGAATAATTGGTATCCACATGATACAAGATTTCCTTAGTTCCATTTTCACAAACAATTTGATCCCTTATCTAAGTATCACGTAGTAAAATGATTTGTTAGATATCCTTTGATTTAGATTTCGAAAGCTATGAATCAATGAGAAGTCTATTATAGCTGTATCGATTGTTATGAAAATCTACTCACGCCAAAGACGAAATAGCTTGGTGCACAGGCGATCAGTGGTGCCAAAACGCAACACCATAGAGCTATCTTGCAACGAGTAGGTGTGCACCATGCGTGGTTGTATTGCAGAAACCTGAAACACGTATCAACGGATGATGCATTGTAACAATGAATTTCGAACAATACACGAATTCTCTTCCTCATCCTTATTCTCGTTTCGAGAAATACACGTTTTGTTTTCTCTTTTCAAACGTATAATATAATATAATAAATTTCTCTAGGAAGATCACAATAGATGGATAAAGAAAAAAAAGTTTATTTATTAATATTTCTTTTTAATTTTTTTTTTTTTTATATATTTTTCTCATGAAATTTCATCTCCTTTCTCAATTATTACGCTTCTATATACTGCGAAGCTTTAATAATTAAATTAGAAAAAAATGTTAAAAGAAAGAAAGCAAGAAAGAAAGTAAGAAAGAAAGAAATTTCAAGAGAAGGTCGAGTACGAATTTATATTTCTTTACAATTCCGAGATTTCTTTGCAACACCCATAAGAATCTTATGTCGAGACATATATATATACATACAATAAGTATGTTGCTACAATAAAACGTACATATAACGAGTGTAATTTTTTGATGTTTCTTTATGGTCAAAGCGGAAACATTTTGTTTCCCTTAAGTATACTTCTACTATTTAATAAAAAGGAATTATAAATTACGTATAAAACGAAATGTAATTTGTTATCTCGTTAACAAAGTTTTATCTTTTTATAATATATATTTTTTCTCTTGAAATATTCTACTATTATTTGTACTTTAATTCAAACATTTATTTTTAAATACGTATTAACTACGTGCCAGCCGGATGTAAATTAATTAACATTGTTTAATAACTTCTCATTAGCTGTTTATTGGCTAACAATTTTTCATAGATCTACGTTTCCATTTGACGTTTTCATTTTCTTTTATATATTTTATGCAAAAAATACGTGTAATTACAAGTGTGCGAAAAAAAAGAAACATCATTTATATAATATAATTGTGTATTTTCTGTTGGCAAATAATGTAATAGAAAATCCATAAATATTATTAGTTGTTTCAGACGTCCAAAAATAATAGTAAAAAATAACAACGGATTGCAAGAAGAAAATACTTGTTGGTAAAATATATATTGTTGGCAATACTGTTGCGTAATAAAGTTAACATTTAAGTTGTTACATTCAATTATATTTCAATCGCGAAACACTAATAATAAGTTTGTATCAATTAATAGTCTCTCTCATATGATTCGAGTGATGTATAACAATAAAAGGGTTGACAAGAAACGTGTAGTACCTATTTACTTACATTGGGTTAAATTTTGCTCCCGGAGAATTTCTATATGAACAAAAATAAAGTTCAATGAGTCAAGGCAATATCTTCGAAAGATAGTACGGGCTCTCGTCGTTTCTCTATTATCTTAGAAAATATTTCAAAGTAATTTGACCAAGTAACGTTTATGAAGAATATTTTTCTACGAGGCTCTATAAATTATTCTTATATATATATATATTATAATTTTTTTATTTATTAATTTATATAAAATGACGCATTATAAGAATAAAAAAAAATTAATATGATTTATAAAAATGTTCTCACTTATATACGAGATTACGTTTAATTACAAAATTTGATAACTTTCGATAGCTTAAAGTTTTAAAGTTTAGAGAAATTTCTAACTAAATTGTGACGTGAGTTATTCAGGTAAAAATAAAAGTATTTAAAAAGTTGTCAATGTCGAGAACTTCGAAAGGAAGGTAAAAGAAGATTTATGTGACAGAAGCTTGACAATAATATATTCAAACTTAGAAAGAAGACAAGGGGATGGAATGAGGAGCAAGAACGAAAGAACGAACGAAAGAACGGACGAAAGAACGAATGAACGAACGAACGAAAAAAAAAAAAGAAAAAAAACGTACGGAGATTGTTACAAAGCAATTTATAAGCCGAATCGCGAAAGAAATCCAGATTATGTTCTTAGAAAAAAGAAGCTTATGCAGATTTATATATAATACAAAGGGTACACGCGCGTTATTAGATATTACTTTGCGTCGTCCTAAGAAAACACAATTTTGTATCTCGGTCAGTAGCCGAACGTGCTTTTGAAGTTTTCATCTTACCTTTTATAACTCTTACCCTCTTACCATCTTCAACGTATCTTAACCGTCATAAAGTTGTATTTTTAACATCATTCTATATCGAATAATATTTGTACATACGTTCAAGAGAATTCGAGTTTTAAATATATTTTATTTATACTTTTTTATATATTTACGTTTATATAATTAATCATACATATTAACCCTACGGCAATAAAAAAGTAAAATTATTTGAAATAAATTTACCTCAAAGCGATATATCTCCAAACAGCCAGTGTTAGAGTTAATGCGATGCTGATGGTATGAATGACCTGTGTAAAGTGCATGTGAAATAAAACGAAGACAGCCCATCCGTAAGGGTAGATCTGACGTTTTGGTAGAACGAAATAAACGTAAACGGCAAAGGGTATGTATTCCAACATCACCAACATGTCAGCAAATGCTAATCCCGTTAATATTTTGTTTATCGGTGTTATCATCATATCTTTATGGGTTAGCACAACGATGTTCAACATATTGGCAAAGGTACCAAATATGCATACTATTATTGCTACGTAACCATGATATATTCTATAGCTCATAGCCCAATTTCTGATGGAACCGTTGCAATAACAAAACGTCGTCGATGTTTCCGGAGGAAGACTGAAGTTGTTTACGTAATCAATATCATCTTTCGTAATATTAAATCGAGTAAATATATCGGTGTAATTTGGATGCCAATACATGCTCGATATATTTCGTAGGAGTAACTTTAATTGCAGCAACGAAGAGTTCAAGTATCCTTTGTAATACAAATCCTCACGATTCCAGTGACATAACATCGCATTTTCCACAAAGTCAAAGATTATATCCTTTTATCGATCCAAGTAAATTCTTAGATTTTTTATTCTTATATAATTGATTCTCCAACGAGAGAAATTGTTCTGTTTTCTTAAAATTGTAAATTGACGTTGGTAAAAACATTCGCTTTCGTAGAAAATGTTTGTTAGATTCAACTTGCCAATGTTATTACAGTTGTTGCTGGTGCGGTCTTATTTTCGAAAGAAAATTCGATTCACTCGGGGAAATATCATTTCCACTAATTTACGACGAATTATCGTAGTAAACTTTTCGATGGGTTGAACAATCTTGTTTACGAGAAAGTTCGATGAGGTAATGGCTTTTTTCTTTTTTCTTTTTTATTTTTAAATCTTTAACCAAAATCCCGAAACACTAATTGAATTTAGATTTGTATTATCGTAAAGATAATAGAACAATTAATTCTGATTTTCCTTTAAGAAAGTTAGTAGCCATTAGTCTTTCATTTTAGTATGCTTATTTCACTGCGGTCTTAACTTTATCTAATTCCTAATGAATTCCGCATTTGCAGTTGATTCAGTTTTAAACCGGGTAAAACTCGAAGACAAATATACGATTGTCCAGAACAGGTACTATTTTCTTAAGAAAAGGGGGAAAGTGATGAATTGTTTAGCTGATTGCAAAAGACGTTTTGTTTGTAGAAAAAAAGTTCAATTTAATCGGTTGGAAAATGACGTCTTATATTTCTTTTCCCATTAGATGGAATCGTATAAATGGATGAACTGATTTTTTGACTTTCCCCAATAGATCATCGAATTTAATAATTGCTTGTTGTTTTCTTTTTTTCGACTTTTTTCGAAATTATACATTGTATAATTTTATTCGTTTCTTTTTGGATACAGGATTTCTGAAAAGAAAGAATTGTATTTTGTTAGTGCGAGGTATCAATTGTATTTTCTATGAACAAAATGTATATACATACGTACGTACATATCTATGCGAGATGGATAAAGTATGAAAGAATTGTGTACGTACGTAAAGAATAGAGATAAAAAAAAAAGAAAAACAAAGAAAAAAATGTACGGAAAAATAAATATAACTTTGCGAAGCGCATGATCGAAACGTAAAAAACATTTTGGTGAAATAAAATACAGGAAAATAATACTAGTGAAGCTAAACGGGCTAAATTGTTTATTTGAAACGTGAATAGAATATCAACAACTAGGAATGTTTTGTATGAAGTGAATAACCACACGTATAAACTTGACCTAAAAGATAAACATTTAATTTAGCTAATACGCTTTTTGATTTAACAAAGTGAACTTCGATTCGATAGAACGACGATTATTGATTAGGATTTTATCTTAACCAACCGAATTTTCGAAATATTTATCGAGGAAGAAAGAAATATTACGAGAGTGAAGTTTTGTAATATAAAATAGAAAACAAGAAAGAAAAAAAAAACACATTTTTCCAATGTTTTTTTTTTTATTTTTCTACTACCTTGAGATTCAATCGTAAAAGATATATTTTCTATTTATTGGAGCTTATAGAATATTTTTTGCAAAAAATATATTTACCGCCGTATTACCAAACGTTTTATTTCTTTTCTTTTTCTTTATTATTCATTTATTTATTTAGTTTTATCCTTAAAATGTTTAAATCGCTTATTGATAAATTACGACTTCAACTATTAAGTTCATTTCGAAAAAAAATGAATGTGAAATATAAATTTATTATTTCAACATTATCACATGAAATAAAATCATCCTCCATATATTATATATATAAATGATATTTATTTTCTAAAGAAGAAGTAAGAATTTATTACGTTCACTAGAATTCAGCAAATTCTTCTCGTTGCAGCTTCAAAGAATGCACATTTCTTTATTATTATTTCACGTTATTTGAAACAAACTGATTGTTTTGTGAATTCAATTTGTGAGATTCTGTAAATGTAAACTGAATTACAATTATTATATTAATGAGATATTAAATTGTGCAAATTAGATTGATATATATCAGATATGCATAATAAAAAAATACAAAAGAAAACAAAAAAAAAAGAAAAAGAACAAATAGAAAAAGAGAAAGAGAGAAAAAAGAGATTCTGAAAAATTGTTGTCGTCAAATTAAAGCACATTATTTACACATTCCTATTTTTTGACTTGGAAACATATAATACGTGAAACTCGACAAATGTGTTAGAAGAATTATAAAACAGGATGTTATTTGTCGCGGACGATTTAACATGGCTGTATTTGAAATTTGAATAGATCGTAATACCCCTACTTGAGAAAAAGTGAGAGGGAAAAAGAGAGAGAGAGAGAAAAAAGAGAATAAAAAGAGAAAAGTTTTTAAATGAATAATTTAGTCTAGGATTTCGAAGCGGAATATTTTTTCTCGCAGTTATATTGCAAAAGTCATTTGTATCATTTGGTATAGTTTCGTTCTTGCAAGTAGTAAAAAACAAGAATTAGTCGAACAATCATGTCATCTCATTTTTGTGTGTGTAACATCCTATCAATAGATATTTAAATTAATAAGAATTCTCACGAATGGAGGATTTTTCGATTTACAAGAAATTCCTAACTAAGCAGATTACTCTTCAATAATGAGAGAGAAAGAGAGAGAGAGAGAGAAAAAGCAGAATATAACAAAGAACAAGTCTATATGCATTTTGATAAAAATGTAAAGCTCAACAGTTAACTTATTGATAACCGAATTATGCATGCATATACAAGGCATGTCCAATTATAGGGTTTCTTACTTATAATTACTGTTTTTTGAAAGCTCTTTATTGATCATTTAAATATCATTATTTTAGTATTCTATTAATAAATATAATTAAACGGCGATCATTAAAATTCAATGAGCGTATGCATAAATTGCAGACTACATGCATAATAATATTTGAAATGTTTCATTCCGAATATAGAAGAATATTCAAATAATTTTCCTTGTTTGTTTTTTATTTACGCAGAGATTTTATAAATTTGTTTTTTCTTTTTGCTTTTTCTATTTTTTGCGATACGTCAATCTGCCATTGTTCATATACGTTCAACGAGTTTTCAATCGACACTTTGACGTCATTGTAAAAATGTAAGCATTGATATTGAAATAATGAAAGTTTGTTATGTATCGTTTTAATAAATATAAATATTCGTAAAAAGCTTTGTCACGTACAATTGATAAAATGCGTATCTCGTTATTAAAGAATAAATTTCACTTAATTTCAATGATTTACATTATTACTGTAAAATTATAATGATACTTTCGATGCGTATCGATATATAAAGTTACAGTATGAATATATTATTAAATAAAGTTTTCATTCAACAAGGGAGAACTTTCAGTTTGTTAAAGTAAAGACAAAATACACAGAAGTATCATGAAATGTATTTTATCTCACGGTGATTTTATAATATTAGTGAAAACAATTAATCAAGTCTGATGTACTACTGAAATGGAGCTTACAAAAATGCGAAAACGAATTTTTCTGTTTAAAAACTAAATAATAAGAGCGTAAAGAATGCTCATACTGTATTTCGTTTGAAAATAGATAGTCAACAGGATTGAAGGAAAACTCGTAAAAGTGACGTTAACTCACTTTCACTGTTAAAATTGGCTTACTGGCTGGATAATTTGACGTGAAATGAAATTGTCGAATTTTACTTTTCAATAAATAAAAAACTTGACATAATGTTTTATCCAGAATTTGAACAATACGAAATTCGACAGCTTGTTTCTAAGGATCAAGCTACTTGGTACATATATAGTACAAATTTATTGTATTTTCACTGATAAGTATAATGCATAAAGCAGGTTTATTGGATACTATAATAAATAATAGTAGATTAAAAAGAAACGATTTCTTTTTTGTACTCAAAAATTTCTAATATTTTTCCAACGAATTTTTCTCAAAGATCGAGATTTTCAAGAATCCTTCTTCTACCTTTTTCTACCTTTATAGTTGGCCTTTTTATTTTTCCTTCTCTATGGGTGAATAAGAAAAATATAATATTTTTCTAATGTACGTTTTCCAGATAAAAGAGTTTTTTCTTCGTATTTCGAAGAACATTTACGACATTCACGAGATATACTATTTGCATTTACATCAATAAAATTTAAAATTAGACATGTCAGAGTCATATGCTCCATTTAGTATCTTAATAAACTTGATGGAACGTTCGTATCGTTAAACTCGACATGGGAGAAGTGTCACCGGTCTATAGAAAACTGAATAAATGTTAAAGTTAACTGCATGAACGAATGAAAAATATATTATCGCTATGTTGGATCTTAAAGATCTTTTAAAGAAAAATCAATAAACATTTATATAGCGATTTAGTTATGATCGTTCTGATCATTTCATGGAACTCGTTAAAAAAAGAAGAAAAGAAAAATAAGAAAAATAAAATATAAAAATAAGAAAAATAAAAAAAATAATTCTCGATACTAAAACATTCATTTTCATAGATTTAATCATTGTATTTTTAATTAATTTGCTTATATACTTAAATACCAGTATATTCTTCTGCGGAATTTCCAATAAAAAAAAACGTGAACACGTTAAAAGATTATCACATTATCTTTTATTATATGTATAATATATATATATATATATATTTTATAATTCACATACGTTTAATAATTTAAATAATCGTATAAGTGATTTAATATGTAACAATTACAAAATAGAATCCTAACAAAAACAAGAAATATAAGTTATATATAATAAAAGTAATACGATTTTGATTAAAGTTAATCAATCATATTATTAATAGCACGGATCGTTTCCACGTTAATCGCAAACGTAGAAATGAACATATGTGGTTGCGCATTACATCGATTATAATTTACGCATCGATAAATACACAATCGTGAATTGAATATAACCAAATCCTTTATACTTCTTGTATTCGATAGAAATGATTTCTTTGATCTCTTGATTTCATAGCAATTATATTAAGAAGAAAAACTTTTCCATTTCTGTATATACGTACGCGTAACTTGTAATATCGATGTTATTTTTAACTTAGAGAAAAAACTTTTTAATGGTTATTACCTTTTTTAAAAATGATTTGACATCGGAGTTTTAGAATTTTATGAAAGATCGAAAAAAAAAAAGAACAAATATAAAACAGTTTACCAAAAAGTATTTTGTTTTTTATTTAATAATCGAACGCGTAAAATTGCAAATGTTATTTGGTTAAAAAGTGTATTTTTAAAATCAAATAGAATGGAATAAGAGAATTAGAAAAAGAACAAAATTAACATGACGCATGTTGGTAACTCGATATCCTATGTTCAGTATCGATCACATTTTCCTAATACTAACAGACAATCCGTTGGATGGCAGTGTTAACAATTGTAAGTTAAATACAAGTTAACTAATGAATATTCACGGTTGTTACATATGGTGAGCTATTATTATATAGATACTACTCAAATCTCTCGTCAATTTCCGAGTTATGGAATAACAAATTGAGAATAATCATAACCATATGTAGTAAATATAATCCTTTACGTGGGTATATGCGTTTTTACCTCATACATATTGATGCATACACAAGCAAAGAAAAACTCTTTCTGATCTTAATCTTTCTTTTTTTAAGAAATTACGTTTCGAACGTTAAAATGACTAATTTTTGTAATACCACTTTATTCCTAATGCAAAAATATTAACTGGAAAATTGAGCCGAGGGTCTTTCGTGAAAAATAAAATTAACCGTAAAAAAATATCTTTCCTTCTGCCATCAAGATTAGAGATTTATTAAACACTATGTTTACTACATCGTTCATTAATTCTTGCTTCTTCCTTAGAAAGATTTTTATCGCCGATAATATTCAAACACTATCAACTACTACCACCACTAACC